TCAAGAAATATGGGAGACTACATTTGATTGGTGTACCTTAATGTGATGGAGAGAATGAATCCAAGCTGGAAAATACTTTTCAGGATATTATTCAGGAAAATTTTCCCAATCTAGCAAAGCAGGACACTATTCAATCCCAGGTATACAGAGAACACCACAAAGATATTCTTCAAGAAGAGCAACCCCAAGGCACATAATTGTTAGATTCACCAGGATCGAAATGAAGGAGAAAATACTAAGGGCAGCCAGAGAGAAAGGCCAGGTTACCCATAAAGGAAAGCCTATTAGACTTACAGCAGATCTCTCAGCAGAAACCCTACAAGCCAGAAGAGAGTGGGGGCCAATATTCAACATACTTAAAGAACAGAACTTTCAGCCTAGAATCTCATATCCTGCCAAACTAAGCCTCACAATTGAAGGAAAAATAAAATCTTTTATGAACAAGCAAGTACTCAGAGATTTTATTACCACCAGGCCTGCTTTACAAGAACTTCTGAAAGAAGCATTATACATAGAAAGAAACAACCAATATGAGCCTTTTAAAAAATATACCAAAAAGTAAAGAGCATCAACATAGAGAAGAATTCACATCAACGAATGGATAAAATAGCCAGTTAACATCAAATGGCAGTAACCCTAAATTTAAATTGACTAAATCCCCCAATCAAAAGATACAGCCAAAACCTAACGGTGTATCCAAAGATACACAAAGACTCAAAACAAAGGGTTGGAGAAAAATTTACCAACCAAATGGAGAACAAAAATAAATAAATAAACAAAAAGCAGGAGTCGCAATTCTTACATTTGATAAAATAGATTTCAAAGCAACAAAGAAACAATGGTAAAAGGATCAATGCAACAATAAGAGATCTTAATAACCAGATACATAAGACCCATAACGAGATTTAGACTCAACGAGACAGAAAATTAATAAGGATATCCAGGACTTCAACTCAGATCCGGAACAAGTAAACTCAATAAATATTTATAGAGTTCTCCATTTTAAATACACAAAATATTGATCAGCCATTATTAATACCCATTTTTAGAATGAAGCAATATTCCTCTTCTCTCTCCCTCTTTTTCTTCCTTTCTTCCTCTCCTTCTCTCCTTTTTTTACTTTTCAACATCCTAGTTCCTCACCTCTACTCAATACATTCCTCTGAACACCTGATTCCTTGTGATTCTCCCATCCCACTGAAACCTCCAAAAAAAATAAAAATAAAAAATAACTCTTGAGTGTATTAGCCTTTTGCATGCTATGGGTGGAGCAAATATTTTCCCATGTTTTTGTCTTTCAACTTTATTTTTTCCGTACACAAATTTTAACATAGTAAAAATGATCCTTCTTTTCCATTATAACATCTGAGCTTAATGAGAAAGGTCTCTCTCACCCTGGATAATAAAAATAAGTCCCCTGTGTTTTTTTTCTAGAACTTTATAGATAGGTTTATATCAAAATTTTTTCCCATTTCGCATTAATTTGAAGTAGGCAGTGAAGAACGTGTTGGAGTAATTCTTCAGAAGGCTTGGCTGGAAGGTTAGCAAAAAGGAGCTGTCTGACACATAAATCCTGCAGAAGTTGAGCTTACTGAACCACACCATAGGTACATTTTAAACAAGTATGCCAGTATCCTCTGGCCAGCAGGCATGCAGCTGTTTGGTGAGCTTGCCTCTTCAGCTTTCTTTTCTTTGTGGGAAACACATGGATTGTTTGCGATGACATTTGTATTTTCAGAGTAAGGTCTTGCCAGGTCTAGCACAATTACCTAACCAGTTTTCACACATCACTTCACCTGGTTCTCACTTCCAGGTAGCACACAACTTCTTCTTCTGCCAGCAGGGTCACCTTGCTATTCATTCATAGGATAAATAATAATGCTACAACATTTCATATGTGTGCAAAAAAAAAAAAAAAAAAAAAAAAGAAGAAGCTGACAGGTTTGTCCCCAGCTCTTAAAGTGACCGTGGGCTCCTGGAGGCTTAGTAAGTAAGAGCCCCAGCCCTGTCAGTCCTGACCTTCTAAATTGAGGATAGTCTTTGGTGGCTTTTCCTGAGTGATTGCTCCTCTTTTTCTCTTGGGGAACTCATTCTTTCTAATGTTTCTCTTCCTTACAGTACGCATATTGGTTTCTTCCTAATGGGGCCAGGGACCCCAGGGGCCCTTTTACAATGCCCCCTGCCCTCATGGAATGACTTGTGTCATCTGAAGGGCTGCTATTACTGCCTTAGTAACCTTTTCTTTTGTATGGCTCCAGGAATATCGCTGTTATTAAAACTTTCTGGGCAATTTCTAGCAATTGGGTTAAATTTATTTCCTGGAATCTCTCTTACATCTGTAACTTTCTTTTAATATCTGGGGCTGACTTGGAAACGAAAGCCAGATTGATGGTCCACTGATTTTCTGGAGCCTCAGGGTCACCTGAAGTGTAGGTGTAATAAGCGTCTTGTAGATGGTCAAGGAAAGCAGCCAGCGACTCCTGGGGACCCTGAGTTATCGTCCCTACTGTGGAGAGGTTAGTGGACTTGTGGGCCGCTCCCCTAACCCCTTTTGAAAGATACTGGTGAAAAGTGTTAAGAGCCTGGTGACCCCCCCCCAAGGTGTTGGGGTCCCATTGGGGTTGGGTAGAGGGGAAAAAATCTTTTTAATTCAGTCCTATTTTTTTTCTTTTCTTTTCTTTCATTTTTTTTTTTCTACTGTTCCTCACCCTGGACTTATGATGGCTTTTAGGGCTTCTTGTCTAACTTTGCTTCTTTCCTTTGTGGTGAACACAATCAATAATAATTGTTGGCAGTCGTCCCAAGTGGGGTGATGAGTCTGAAATACAGATTTTAATAGCCCTGTCAAAGCCTGGGGCTTCTCAGAAAACAGGGAATGTTGAGCTTTCTGACAGAACTTACTCCATTGTAAAACCCCACCACTGCCTTAAGTTCCAGCAGGACCCCCCTCCCAGGGAACTTTCCATCTCAGCATGTTTCTAACCCTCCCCGTCTCACCATCTTAGCAGTTCCCCAGCACAAACCGCTCCCAGGAACTATTAAACTCAGCAGTTCCCCAGCACTTCCCCTCCTGCACAGCCCCTCACACTGGATGCATCTGCCAGCTTACAGGCCATAAAAATCCCCTTTGCCATGCCATGGGTGCTGCACACCAATTTTGGGTACAGCCCGGCAGCTTTTCCCAGCACTTGGTGTTTCAGCCATGTCTTTAATTTCTATCACCTTCTGGTTATATAACTCACTTGACAAGAAGGGGTTGTGAACAAAGAATGGGTGACCCCAATTGTCTTCCCCTGTTGGGGGTGCCTCTCGGAAAGGAAGGACTACCAGTGGGTGTGGAGCCTCACTGTGGGTGTGCAGGAGGGACAAGGTTTGGTTACTGGTACTGTCCAGGGGGTTGCTGATGCCCTGGTTTAGAGGGCCTTCAGTAGGGTGGAGGTAATTCCTGATCCTCCACTAAGGTGAGGAGAATGGCTGGCCCAGAAGGGGCTTTCTTTGGGCCGGCTAACATGACCTGAAGTCTAGCCTGTTTTATGCAGCATTTCAGCCATGGCGGGGTTGAGGGGGAGTTGTTGGACTAAATCCAACCATCAGCTAATGTATGGAAACTGGTCAGGGTGGCCAGGAGTTCCTGCGACCATTTTCCATACAGCCTGGGTAATTTTTTTTTTGAGTCGTAGGTCTCAGTGTCAGGCCACCCAATTTCAAAAGACAGCCATTCTAGTTTAGATAAAAAGCAGTCTTCTCCAGGGGTTAATTTTACCCCATATTGGCCTGAAAACCCAACATTGAAGTTGGCCATCATGCACTGGAGAGGGGTACAAGGCTGGGAGCTAGATGACCCCATTTGGTTTTTCCTTCAGTTTTTGAATTTCCCCCAAGAGATTTCACTAATTTAAGACTGGCTTCACTGAGGATTTGAACCACCAACCTTGCAGTTGCAGGCCCTACACCTTAACTACTGTGCTAACAGGTCACTTGCATTACAAAGAGTTAGAAAGCTTTTCTTAAAGCCATATTTTGGATGCAAATACTGCACCCTGAAGCAATGTGGCCTGCCTGAAAGCTGGGCAGGGTTGTGGCCAGAAGAGAAAGAAAAAAACACTTTTTGTGTCAGTTTAAAACTGAGCAAGAAGCCACTGAGCCGGCTGCAAGTTCCCCACTCCTGCAGCTTTTGGTCACCTTGACACAGGGACCCTAAAAAGCATTAAATTCCTCTCTCCCTATCTCTCTCTCTTCTCTCACTCTCTCTCTCTTTTTCTCTTTGTCTCTGCCTCTTCTTTAGTCTCTTCTCCGTCTACTTTTTTCTCTCTTCTCTCTCTCTCCCTGTCCCCGTCTCCTCTCTCTTTCTTTTCCTCCCCTACTTTCTTGTCCTCTCTCCTTTTCCCTCCCTATCTCTGTTTCTTTTGACAGAAGAAGAGACAATTACTCCTTTTTTCACCCTACAGGGGCAAAGAAGGCTGGTAGTTTCTTATTTAAAGTTTGAGTCCCTAAGGCAGAGAAAAAAACTACACTCAAGTCATTGGGGGCAGAATTTTCTCTTGGACATGAGAAAAAGGAAGAATGAGGCCTCAATGATAGGACAAGAAGAAGGAAAGGAAAGAGAACAGAATTATTTCCAGGGGTGTAAACTCAATTAGAGTTTCTCAAAGACAGTGGTCACTTAGCCAATGGAGAATATTATCCACCTCAAGAGTAACAGGTCTAAACCACTGTACATAAGCCAACAGGAATCTAACCGAACTGGTAAATCTACAATAAAGACAGAACCACATAAAGGATTGACAGGCAAAGGATGGGTGCCCCCCAGATGGGAGACCAGTCTGATGCCTGCCCGGCCACTTCCCAGGAGAGATGTTTCAAAGCGTCTTGGCTAAGGTGTACCCATATAAACCCCGGGCCTAGTCACCTCAGAATTTTCAGTCCTGAGATGAGTCACCATTATGCATTATGATGTCCCATGGAACCGCAGGTGAAGGCCCATACAAGCCCCATAGCCTTGCAGCTGTGAGAATACATATATACACACTCATTCTCTCACTCACACCGAGGTTATGGAAAACAACTGAAAACTACATTACCCGAGCCTCCGGTGAGGTAACACAAGCCTCCAGTGAAGTGACCTGAGCCTCCAGTGAGACAACCCGAGCCTCCTCTGAGATGACTTGAGCCTCCAGTGAGGTGATCTGAGCCTTTGGTGAGGTGACCTGAGCCTCCAGTGAGGTAACATGAGCCTCCAGTGATGTCTCACGGTAGGCTTGCCTGGTCAGGATTGCAATGATCGCGTTCTGTTCCCTGACTCAGGCTCCCTGATGGACTGGTCCACAGACCTGACTTACCACCCGAGGTTCCCAGGACCCTGAGGAATTTCGGGTGAATGTTGGCCAGGTAGTCGCTCATCCTCCATGGGGCTGGAACTCTGGGGCCCTGGAACATCTTAGGGGGCACCTCCCCAAGGGGTCCCCGAGGTGGGAGCGGCTGCCTGGGAGAGACTCTGAGATGGCTTTTGTCTGGTGATGAACGAAGGTAAATTTTGGTGGGACCTCCAAAATGTTGTACTGAACCAAGCATAGAAAGTTAACACCAAGACAAAAGTATGCCAAATTGCAGAGTCTTTATTGCCAGCAGCCATGGAGGACTCGTGTCTCTCCAACCCATGGCCCTGAAAGAGGATGTCAAGTCATTTCATACCCATAAAACCACCTGGGTGTGGGGAGGGGGAGGGGCAGGGGGTGAGGGGGAGGGGCTTCAGACATTACGAGGGCTAGTGGATTCTGTAAATCACCTCCTGGGAGGAGATGAGGGTGAGGGGCTCCGGACACTCCGAGGGCCAGGGGACTTCTGACATTCTGATTGTTGCTTAAGTGGTTCACAAAAGTCAAAGATAAGCATTTGTTTACACATTGTCTGGGTAGGGTGGAAATCACAGACTTTAATTACTTATTACAAGTCTCAGGGGCCAAGATAGTGTGGGTTTGGACTACTTGCCTGTCACATTAGGATTACAGAGAGCAGTTTCAACAGAAAGCTGAGGTATGGTTGAGGTGTGCAGTTTTATGGGGCTTTTACCATGTCACACCTGTACAAGTTTAAATGACTGACACTCAGACTTTCCTCATGCTGTGTCCTCTACCAACTCTGTGATTATCTGACTTCATTAAGTCTCTTCAACAGTGTCATTGATGAATGCATTTTTAGTATGAAACAGAGAATCAAAGATAAAAAACACATGATTATCTCAATAGATGTGAAGAAGACCTTCAACAAAATTCTACAGCCTTTTATGCTAAAAACTCTCAATAAACTAGGTATCAATGGATTAGATCTCAAAATAATAAGAGCTATTGATGACAAACCCATAGCCAGTATCATCCTGAATGGATGCATTTCTTTTGAAATCTGGCACTAGACAAGGATGCCCTCTCTCACCACTCCTATTCAACATAGTATTGGAAGTTCTGGCCAGGACAATCAGGCAAGAAAAAGAAATAAAGGGTATTCAATTAGGAAAAGAGAAAGTCAAATTGTCTCTGTTTCTAGATGACATGATTGTGTTTTTAAAAGATCCCATCATCTCAGCCCAAAATCTCTTTAAGCTGATAAGCAACTTCACCAAGTCTCATTGGGATGTCAAACTGAATAGAGTATTATTTATAGACATTTAATAATTAAAGAATTATGTTTAATATAAAAATTTTGATAATTTTTAAATAATATGAATGCTCAAACAAAATACATGAAATGCAAACTATTTCTAAGCAACTGGTTTCTGATAAGTTGGCATCAAAACAAATTTAAAAATTCATCCCACTTTTTTTTCTGAATTCTACTTTCAATGTTGTTACATTTAATAAGAAGGATTTCTTATGTCGTGTTATTAAATATGGGTGTAACACTCAAAACAACAATGTCAAAACCTTGCATACCTTCTATTTCAGTCTACTCCAATTGTCGATGGTTTCCTAATGCAAAGAAAAGTTCACTTTGGGAGGCCGAGGCAGGTAGATCACGAGGTCAAGAAATCGAGACCATCCTGGTCAACATGGTGAAACCCCATCTCTACTAAAAATACAAAAAAAAAAATTACCTGGGCATGGTGGTGCATGCCTGTAGTCCCAGCTACTCAGGAGGCTGAGGCAGGAGAATTGCCTGAACCCAGGAGGTGGACGTTGTGGGGAGCTGAGATCGGGCCATTGCACTCCAACCTGGGTAACAAGAGCGAAACTCCATCTCAAAAAAAAAAAAAAAAAAGAAAAAGAAAAAGAAAAAAGTTATTAATGCATATTTCTCATAATACATGAATAAATTAAAATTTTACAATAAAAAGTATTGTCTCAAAGAATTAAAAAGTAGTTAATGTAAAAAATAGTTATTTAACATATCTGATAAGCAGCACAACATGATATTTAAGAATTTAAATTCTAGATACTCAGACAACATGGGTGCAAAACAGTGATGTGGTCAACCCATTGTAAATGGGATCATCTCTGCACCCAAACTGGGTATGACGTCAAGACTGCTGATGTCACAACCACATGCAGATCAAAAGAATATGACATTTTGTAACTGAAATTATGAGGTTTCTTAGGTAAGAAAAGTAAGCATCCAAGCCTGTCTAATGCCTTGAGCTGAAGAGGCCAGTGGCTTTGGTTTATACTGTACTCAAGGCATGGGCCTGGGTGAGAGTTTCAACATGCAGGCAGAGAATTGTGCTTTAAGAGACAGAGTACCTGGGTTTTCTTATTGGTTGTCCAGATGTGACACAAGAAGGAATAAAAGACGGTTGGGGATTGAACAGTGTCGCTGGTCAAGCATCCAAATGTAGTCAGACTCTTAATTATAATAATCTAAATCTATCAATTCCTAGCTGTGGCACTTCAAGTAAATCATTTATTTGTACTACGTAATTGGCATAGATTTGTCTCATGTAACTTCATATATAAAATTGTCATGATACAAATTTTTATTAAGTAGAATAGTCACAGAGTTTAAAGAAATATCTAAATATATGTATCTTTTAGAAATTGTTTGGGCACATAGTATCATCTCGGAGATGGTTGTTCTTCTTCCAGAACCATTACGTACTAGCCTCTATGCTAAGCAGAGTATGTGCCAATTGCCTGTCATCAAGAGCTCATAGTGTCATTGGAGAGAAAGCTAAAAATAACTCTAAGGCTGGTGCTATAAATTTCCTATATAATAAATTTGTATGTAGCCTTTATAAATTGTACTATACATATATTTATGTTATTTCAAATATTTAAATATATGCATATATATTTATATTTAAATATATATATTTATGTTCATACAGAGAGAGGGAGAGAAAGAAAAGGGAAAGCTTAACTCAAACTGTGGAGCAGTTAAAATTTGAGGTTGACTTTGAAAACTAAGTGTGGTTTACAGGAAAGAAATAGGGAAAACTATTTTTTAGACAAATGAAATAGTATAAATAAAAGCATTGAGGTACATAACTATAAGTATTGAATAAAATGGATATTAGAGTGCGGGCTTTGGGGGATAACTGGATATAATTGATAAATTGTCCATTATGAATTACAAAACTATAAGAGCTTTCAAAAATAGAAGTGAATCACAATGATAATAATGAAAGAGTCATTCGTGGAGATGAGGCAATTGAATACATCTCCAAGTTAGTGGTATTTGCCTAAATCAAGAAAGTTAGTTGAGTGTATTCTGCGCAGAAAAGAATACAAAGACAATTTGTCTCTGGGACTGGAAAAGACCTGCCTGACCCAGTTAAAATAGATATGTGCAGAAATTGTTATGAATAAATTTTGGTAAACCTCATGGTATCATAACATTCAAGTGTGATAAGAAAAATGTATTAGAAGTTTAAAGCAACTACACCTAAAAGAATGAAAGACACAGAAAATTTCTGTTTATTAATACAGTCAAAAGTCAACTAGAAACTCTACTTGCTCCTCTATAGAGGAATAATTTTATTTGCTGAATCTATAGTGGTAATTAGGAAAGAAGAGGCCCAAGTCTCATGAAGCCTATGATTTAATAATGGAGACAGAAGATAAATAAATAAACAAATAGAATAATTCTAGTTAAAAAATTTAAAAAGTAAGCAAAACAAGGTAAACTGATAGAAAATGAACTAAGACATGGAGTAATTTTAGAAAAGTTCTGCTTAAAGTTGACCATTCATTTGAAACATAAACAGTAAGAAAAGTTTATTTATTCAAATACCTAGAGGAGGAATATTCAGACATAACAGAGTAACAGAAAAAATAGGAATAAAGCAAGATAGTTCAATTAGCATGTAAGAAACTGAAATAAATATGTAAATAGAATAATTCTTTATAGAAAAAGCAAACAGTATTGGATTGCTATATTATTAGACATAAGGGAAAGAGAAAGAAATACATAAAATTCCAACCAAAGATCTAATGATTATTGAATGAGTGCTTTAATGTACATTTTTCAAATAAGTTTTAAGGTAATAAAGGTACATGGTAGAACTCATTTAACATATGTGAAAGCAGTGGATTTCAGCTGTTGTGAGCTGTCACAATGTGACAATCTGCTGGATTTGAAACTGGTTCTCTTAACTTTAAAGCTCATACCAGCGACGTTTTACCATACTCCCTTTACAGACTTAAGTGATACATGTTATTATTAACACAGAGAAGCTACTAGAAAAGAAAATTAATATGCTTACAAAATAGATTTGTAGTCATCTATATGGGACTGCCTGCCAGGTCATTGGAGATGGTTAACAAATAAACAGGGGACCAAAGCTATATTAATTTGAATACCTTCCAAAAAGGAGAGATTTGGGAGAAAAATAGAAGCCTTTGTATTGTTTTTTTCTTGTCAGTCTATGGGGCCTGAAATATGGATTTGATAAAAACATTGAATTTTTAAAACTCATTTACCATTTGGTTACAAAAGATTAATATTCTAATATTTTCCAAATTAAAATTTGGGATTTAGAATAACTATAGAAAAAAACAAATTTTTGAGGAAGTTTGTTTTTTTACCATATTGAAATGTTAATCATTTTTCAGAAAATCACTCTTGGAGTAATCCATTTGAAAATATAATCTAATTAGTTGTGAAATTTTGGCTTCATTTTACATCAGTTCTAGGAATTGAAGTCTATATTAACACCAAAATGTAGAGAAATAATAAAAACATTTGCTAAAATAGGACAATTTAAATTATTTAAGTAATGTATGTAGAGAATGATACAATAAAAAAAAGCTACAATATCAGTTGTCAAGTATTTTTGCTGTTTTAGCAAATTTTAACTTGTTCAGAATAATTTACGTGGAAGAAAAGGCAATGGATGACAAGAGAACTCTGGGAAGATGTCAAGGTAGAATGTATTAGAAATCTTTATTCTCACCTAAACAATATCATCTCTTAGCTCAGCAACAGTTATTCATTCTCACTCTGAAGCCCTGTTGCAGACAGCAATATATTTGTATCTGGGGCAGCTATCACACAGCTTACAGGAACCAGAGTGGGAAATAAAAAGACTGTCTTCAAAATATTGCTGATCTATGTTATGATTGCTGATTGCTGTTTCTGATCATAGAGGTGCAAGCACAGTGGCAAGCAGCTGTTCTCACACTCCCTGCTCAGTTGTTGCAAGCCCTGCTCTATTGTTCTGCAGCATCTTCCAGAGGATCCTAAAGAGCCAGCACTTTTATCCTCCCTTTCATTTTCCTCTTTTTTAATTTTCTTTTTGAGAGTCATATTTTAAACACTAGGGCATTCAAAAGTTATTTCACATACAAGAGAATTCGAAATTTACCACAAATGCCCAGGGAATCGCATAGGCTGAGAAAAGATAAGACAAAATTTTTATTTTACACCTCACACCTCTCTTGGGCACAGAAAAAAATCTTCAACAACAACAAAAAAGTAAACAATTGCAAATTCTAGGGAAGGAAAGAATTCTGATTACTGGAAATAAAACATTATTTCAAATGTTCAGTTTTGAACAAAATATGATAAAACAAATAAAAGAGAAAGTATGACTCATTCAAAGAAGCAAAACAAAAGAGAAACTCTCTGTGAAAATGATTGAATGATAGACATACATTCTAGACAAAGTCCTAAAACAGCCATCTGAAAGATACTTAAGAACTAAAGAAATATGGAGGAAATAAAAGAAAGTATAAAGAAAACAAAAATATTAATTAAAAGAAAGAAAAAGTAAAATAACACACAAATTCTAGAGCCGGGAAATACAACAACTAAAATAAAAAATTATCTACAAAGATTAAAAGGCAGTTTTGAATAGAAGGTAGAAAAATCAGTTAATTTGAAGATAATGTAATGGAATGCACTGAGTCTGAGAAACAGAAAGAAAAATGACTGAAGAAAACAAATGGAGCCTAAGTAATGTATGGAACACATCAAGCAGATAAAAATACACTTAGCGGAGATTACGCTAAGAGAATCTAGAAAGAAAGGAGAAGAATTATTTGAAGAGCTCTGGCTGAAAATTGTCTAAGTTTGATAAAGGACAGGAATATAAACATCCAAGAAAATCAATCAACTCCAAGTACGATGAACTCAAAGTGATGCACACCAAGATATTGTAATCAAACTGTCAAAAGACAGAGACAAAACAAAGTTGTGAAAGCAGTAAGTTCAAGTCCAAGGATCCACCAGTAATATTATCAGCAGAATCATCATCAGAAACTTTGGAGTCTAAAAGGAGGCTCCTAGAGCATAAAGTAATTAAAAACAAAAAATCTGTCAAACAAGAATCTTATATCTGGTAAAACATTTGTCTTCAAAAAGGAGGGAAAAATTAAAACACTCCAAAAGTAATGAAAGCTCAGGAAGTCTGTTTCCACAAGATCATCCTTGAAAGAAATACTAAAGGAAGTCATATAAGTTGAAATGAAAAACTTGACAGCAAATCAAAGCCATACAAACCAATAAATATCTCAATATAGGTAAATGCACTGACAAATTTAAAACCTGCATAGCCAATGTTGTGAAAATAACCATAATGCCAAAAGCAATCTACAGCTTTAATGCAATTCCCTTTGAAATACCATCATTATTCTTCACTGAACTGGCAAAAACCAATTGTCAAATGTATATAGAACCAAAAAATAGCCTGCATAGCCAAGGCAATACTAAGCTAAAAGATCAAATTTGGAGACATCACATTACTTGACCTCAAATCATACTACAAGTCTGTAGTCACCAAAACAGCATAGAATTGATATAAAAATAGGCACATAGACCAATGGAACATACTAGAGAACCCAGAGGAAAAAGCCAAATACTGACAGGCAACTGATCTTCGACAAATCAAACAAAAACATATGGTGGGGAAAGGACACCCTATTCAACAAATGGTCCTGAGATAATTGGCAAGTCATATATAGAAGGATAAAACTGAATCCTCATCTCTCATCTTATACAAAAATCAACTCAAGGTAATTCAAAGATTTTTTAAAAATAGTTTTATTGAGAAATAATTGATACACCACAATATACACCAATTTCAAGTGTTTAGTGATTTTTATGGTTGTTCAAACATCACCACAATTCATTCTTTGAATATTATCATCCCAAAATATCCATCCTGACATTTTTCAAATAATATCAGTTCTCAAGCCCCAGCCTCAAGCAATCACTAATGTACTTTCCTTCTGTATAAATTTTTTCATTTCTGGCCATTTCATGTAAATGAAATTACAGAATATGTGGTCTTTTACATTTGACTTCTTTTACTGAACATAATGTTTCTGAGGCTGATTCATGTGGCAGCAAATAGCAGAAGTTGGGTCCATTTAATTGCCAAACAGTGTTTTCTGGCATGGTTTTAATGGCCCTATTCTTTGAACCTCTGAGATACCTGATATGACAAATAATTGTTTTTCTGATTTGTAGGGAGTACAGAATATTTTGATTTAAGACTGGTCTGGATAGTGGCTATACATATAGTGTGAAAACATTCTGCCTCCTTTACCCTGATAGAGGTTGACATATCTGCTAAAAAAAATTAATGTTGCCATTTGCCCAGAACAAATATATTAATATGCCAATACAGCTGTCACAAATGGAGACAGGAAACCAATAAGAGAAGGAGGCAGGGGATTTGTACAATTCTTGGTCTGATGAGTACCATATCCTTTTTGAAACATGCACATACATTATCACACACACAAAACACTAGGTGCACACACAGAGACACACATAAGCAAAACAATGAATATGCACCCACACAACTTTACACACACAAAAATATTAGCTTTCTTTCAGCACTATTTACTTAGAATGCAGAGTATCTTCCAAGGTGAAAATAATAATTATATATTTTTTTCTATTTGAAGATCATTAAAAAAGGCCAAGTGCAAATGGCTCATATCTGTAATCCCAGCATCTTGGGAGGTCCGGACAGGAGGACTCCTTGAGTTCAGGAGTTCAGGACTAGCCTAGACAACACAGTCAGACTGCATCTCTACAAAATTTTGAAAATTAGAGGGACATGGTGGCAAGCACCTGCAGTTTCAGCCATTCGAGAGGCTGAGACAAGAGGATTGCCAAGCTCAGGAATTCAGAAGGTCAAGGCTGCATATAATTGTGCCACTACACTCCAGCCTGGCCTGGGCAATGGAGAGAGATCCCCCTTTAAAGGAAAAAAATTTAATAAAAAAGATTGTCCAAGACGAGACACTGGTCTTTTTGGAGTTAACCAGACACTGCTCTTCTTGGTCCATACCAGATCAGATACTTACAAGGAATAGGTTTTTGAGGTAGGCAGACGGATAACTTGAGCTCAGAAGTTTGATACCTGGGCAGCATGGTCAAACTCTATCTACACAAAAAATATGAACATTGGGTATAAAAATTTGTTATAGCACCTTGAACAAACTAATACAGAAATTGGTAATGAGAGGTGTGAGTGCCTCTATAACACATACCCAAAACTGTGGAGGCATTTTTAAATATAGATAATGGGAAAATGTTATAAAACATTTGGGGTTAATGCTATAAAAATCCTAGATTGCAGTGAAAAAAATTGTAAGACAATTCTGATGAAGGTTCAGAAAGAAAAGAATATAGATATAAAGGAAGTTTTGCCTTCTTAGAGAATATCTAAGTAATCATGAACAGAACGTTTGCATAAACAACAGAGTAAAGGCTATTCTGAGTAGATCTCAGGGGGAAATGAGAAACACGTTACTCAGCAATAGACAAAAGGTGATTCTGGTTACAAAGGGGCTGTGATGGTTGATACTGAGTGTCAACTTGATTGTTTTGAAAGATGTCAAGTATTAATCCTTGGTGTGTCCGTGAGAGGGTTGCCAAAGGAGATTAACATTTGGGTCAGTGGGCTGGGAAAGCCAGACTTACCCTTAATCTGGGTGGGCACCATCTAATCAGCTGCCAGCAAGGCTAGAACATAAAGCAGGCAGAAAAAATGTGAAAAGGATAGACTGGCTTATCCTCCCAATCTACATTAATCCCCCATGCTGATGTTTCCTTCTCCCTAGTATCAGACTACAAGTTCTTCAGCTCTGGGACTCAAGCTGGCTTCCTCTCTCCTCAGCTTGCAGACAGCCTATTGTGAGACTTTGTGAGCATGTGAGTTAATACTACTTAATAAACTCCTTATGTATCCTATTAGTTCTGCCCCTCTAGAAAACTGTGATTAATGCAGATTTTGGTACCAGGAGTAGTTCTAGAGGAACAGATAATTAAGAATGAAGTTCTTTCACTGGTTTTGGGGTTTCTGGATTTGGCTGCTTAACATGATTATACCCAAAAATACTAAGGACTCTACTTCTGATAGTATGGAGAACATTGATAGTCCTTGGCATGAACTGTTTAGAGAGTTATGCAAAATAAATGCATAAGACACTCCTTATCCACCGCTTGTGAGAGGCAATGAGTTTAGTGACTCTATACATGGTAACTTTGAACTCTCTGTGGAGAAGCAAGAAACATAAGAGTACCCTGAGTCAGAGTCTTGTCTCCTGTAGAAAAAGAGCTGAAATTGTGGAAAAATAAACACAAACTCTTATTATGAGTGTGGCTGTCCTGCAATGAAAGGTGCATGCACAGCCTCACGAGATGTCTATTGTTAAAGTGAGGGAATTGATTGAAAAAGAATGGAACTCTGAAACTTGGAATGGGAATAATTTAGAGGACCTTGATTAAGCTAGGGACACTGAGCTTGTAAATTTTGATGAATCTTTTTTGCCATAAGAAACAACTTTTCCATCTCCAGTAATGTCAGCATCCCCACCCAGACCCATGCTGCCATCAGCCTTTCCACTTTCCTCTGAGGATATAAACCTGAGCTGCCTGAAGCAACAATGATGGGCTCCCCTGAGGCAGTTGCCAGGCAAGATAATGTTGGTTCTTCCCAGGAGACAACCCCAACACCCCCATTTGTTTCTAGATCTATAGCTAAAGTTTTGGCAGGCCCCTGCAGGTGTAATTTGGAATGTGATTCATGAAGAGGTGTGCTACACTTGAACAGCTTGAGTTTTCTAATTATATGAGCAGAAATCTGGAGAACAAAGATGGGAATGAATGTTAAGGGTTTGGGATAATGGTGGAAGAAACATAGAGTTGAATCCAACTGAATTTGTTGACTTGGGCCCACTAAGTAAGGATTCTGCATTTAATGTTGCAGCTCAAGGAGTTAAAAAAGGTTCTAATCGTTTATTTGCTTGGTTAGCTGAAATATGGATTAAAAGATGGTACACTGTGAGCAAGGTGGAAATTCCTGATCTTTCTTGGTTTAAAGTAGAGGAAGGGATCCAACGGCTTAGGAAGATTGGAATGGTAGAGTAACCACTTAGATCCACTGATCCCAGCTAGAAGGATTCAGAATATATACCCTTGACCAATGCCTTGTGAAATAGATTCATGAAGGCAGCACCTGCACCTTTGAAGAGCCCTATAATTGCTCTTCTCTGTATGTCAGATCTTCACTCAACTACAACATTTAAATACAATGTGAATAATTGGATCCCAAGGTGGCAGGAGCAAACTTGAAGCACTCAACCTTTAAAGGCAAGGTGGGCATAGCTACTGTAATGGAGAGAAAAGGCAAAGCAGCAGTCAGAATGGTGTGACACATGGAGAGCTCTGGCATTGGCTAATTAATTATGGTGTTCCTAGAAGTAAAATCAATAGGAAGCCTACTGCATTTCTATAAACAGAAAACATCTAGATCAAATGGACAAAACTCTGATTTGAATCATAGAAACAGAGAATCATGGCCACATAGTCAATTTCTAGACTTGAGCCCGTTTACACACCCAGAACTCTTTGAATGAGGGGGAGGCCAGGTCCCCTTGAAGAGGGACCCCACTACATTATTGACAATGTATGCAGTGAATATTTCTCCTATCCTATCCAAGGAGACCTCTGGCCTTTTACCAGGGTAAGTGTGCACTGGGGAAAAGAAAATGACCAGACATTTCACAAACTACTAAACACTGGCTCTAGCTGATGTTGATTCCTGGAGATCCAAAACATCATTGCGGTCCTCCAGTTAAAGTAGGGGCTTATGGAGGTAAGGTAACTAATGGAGTTTCAGCTCAGGTCTGACTTACAGTGGGTCTAGTGAGTGCCTGGACTCATCCTGTGGTCATTTCCCCAGTGCCAGAATGCATCATTGGCATAGACACACTTAGCAGCTAGCAGAACCCCCGCATTGACTCCATGACTGGTAGGGTGAGGGCTATCATGGTGGAAAAGGCCAAATAAAAGCCATCAGAGAGGCTTCTACCCAGAAAAACAGTAAACCAAATACAATATTGCATCCCTCTAGGAATTGGGCAGATTAGTGCCACCATCAAGGACTTGAAAGAGGGGGAGGCAGTGATTCCCACCACATCCCCATTCAACTTTCCTATTTGGCCTGCTCAGAAGACAGGTAGATCTTGGAAAAAGCTAGTGAATTATTGTAAGCTTAACCAAGTGGTGACTCCGATTGCAGCTGCTATACCAGATGTGATTTCATTGCATGAGCAAATTAACATAACTCCTGGTACTGGGTATGCAGCCACTGACTTTAGACCACTCACTTTAGGTTAGTGACTTTAGACCAATTGATACGAGCTGGAAATATCCAGAATACTTATCCTTGATCAATGCCTTATAGAATAGACCTGTGAGGGCAGCACGTGCACTTTTGAAGAGACCTATAATTGCTTTTCTCTGGCAAAAGATTTTTTTCTGCATTTTTTTCATAAGGTACACCAGAAACAATGTACCTTCAGCTGGCAAGGCCAGAAATATGCCTTTACTGTCCTACCTCTGGGGTGTGTTAACTCTCCAACTTTGTGTTATCATCTTATTCAGAGAGACCTTAATGGCTTCACTTTTTGCCTCTGCAAGATATCACACTGGTCCATTACATTGATGATATTATGCTGATTGGATCCAGTGAGTAAGAAGTAGCAAACACACTGATATTAGTGGTGAGACATTTACATACAAGAAAATTGGAAATAAGATTCAAGGACCTTCTATCTCAGTAAAATTTCTAGGGATGCAGTAATTTTGGGACTGCTGAGATACTTCTTCTAAGGTGAAGGATAAGTTGCTGCATTTGGTCCCTCCTGTAACCAAGAGGCACAATGTCTAGTGGGCCTATTTGGACTCTGGAGGCAACACATTTGTCATTTTGGTGTGCTACTTTGGCCCACTTATTGAGTGAGCTGAAAGACTGCCAGTTTTGAATGGGATCCAGAATAGCAGATGGCTCTAGCATGTCCAGGCTGCTGTGCAACCTGCTCTGCCATTTGGGCCATATGACCAGGCAGATCCAATGCTGCTTGAGGTGTCAGTGCAGATAGGGAGGCTGCTTGGAGCCTCTGGCAGGCTCCCATAGGTGAATCACAGCTGAGGCTTCTAGGATTCTGGAACAAGGCTCTGCCATCTTTTGCAGATACCTATTTTCTTTTTGAAATACAGCTCTTGGTCTATTACCGGCTTTTGTAGAAACTGACTATGGGTGTGACTATGGGTATGACTATGGGTCATCAAGTCATCATGAGTCCTGAACTTCCTATCATGATCTGTGTCTTTCTGACCCATCTTGCCATAAAGTGTGTCATGCACAGCAGCAATCCATCATCAAATGGAAGTAGCATATCCATGACTGGGCTTGAGCAGGTCTTGAAGGCATAAGTAAGTTACATGAGAAAGTGGCTCAAATGCCCAGAGTCTACACTTCTGCCACCCTGCCTTCTCTCCCTCAGCTTGCACTAAAGGCCTCATTGAAGGTTCCCTATAATCAGTAAACAGAGGAAGAGATGACTAGGGCATGGATCACAGATGGTTCTATACAATATGCAGATATTAACCAAAAATGGACAGCTGCCGCAGTACAGCCCCTTTCTAGGACATCCCTGAAAGACAGCAGTGAAAGAAAATCTTTCCAGTTGGCAGAACTTCAAACAGTGCACCTTTTTGTGCATTTTGCATGGAAGGAGAAATGGCCAGATTTTATACTGATTCATGGGCCGTAGCCAGTGGTTTGACTGGTTGGTCAGAGATTTGAAAGAAGCATGATTGGAAAAATGATGGCACAGAAATTTGGGGAAGGGATATGTGGACGGACTTCTCTGAATGGTCAAAAACCGTGAAGATATTTGTATCCCATATAAGTATTCACCAGTGGGTGACCTCAGCAGAGGAAAATTTTAATAATCAGTTGGTTTTTCTAACCACGTTTGTCATTATTCAATTGGCCCATGAAGAAAGTGGCCATGGTGGCAGTGATGGAGGTTATGCATGGGCTCAGCAACATGAACTTCCACTCACCAAGGCTAACCTGGCTAGAGCCACATTTGAGTGCCCAATTTTGCAGTAGCAGACACAACATTAAGACCTCAATATGGCTCCTTTCCTCGTGTGATTAGCCAGCTACCTGGTGATAGATGGATTATATTGAACCTCTTTCATCATGGAAAGGGCAGAGGTTTATCCTCACTGGAATAGACACTCCACATATGGGTTTGCCTATCCTGTATGCAATGCTTCTGCCAAGACTACCATCCATGGACTCACCGAGTGCCTTATCCACCGTCATGGTATTCCACACAACATTGCCTTTGACTAAGACGCTCACTTTACAACTGAAGAAGTGTGGCAATGGGCTCATGCTCATGGAATTCACCGGTCTTACCATGTTTCCCATTACTCTAAAGCAGCTAGATTGATAGAATGGTGGAATGGCCCTTTGAAGTAACAATGCTTTACAGGGTTGGGGCAAAGTTATTCAGAATGCTCTGAATCAGCATTCAATATATGGTGCGGTTTTTTTTGCAATAGCCAGAATTCATGAGTCTGGGGAATCAAAGGGTGGAAGTGGAAGTGGCACCACACACCATCACCCCTAGTGATCCACTAGCAAAATTTTTGCTGTCTGTTCCCATGGCGTTGTATTCTGCTGGCCTAGAGGTCTTAGTTTCAGAGGAAGGAACACTGACACCAGGAGACAACAATTCCATTAAATTGGAAGTTACAATTGCCACCTGGACACTTAGGGTTTCTCCTATAGTTCAGTAAATAGGCTAATAAGGTAGTTTACAGTGTTGGCTGGGGTGATTGACCTGGAC